GAGAGGGGGGGAGGGGTCATCCGTGTATCTGTCATCCACTCGATACAAGGTGACGGGTGTCGCATCTTCCCCCTCAGTAACGGTAATGATCGTGTTCTATCGCACTCTTGCAACGCTAATCAGGCAAGATGTGGGAAATTTGTCGCATCGGCGCGCAGGTGCGGCTCGAAATAGTACTGTGCATCCGCTTCGTTAAGAAGGCGCCATCAGCCGCCATCGACGATCGACCGTCGTTCCACGAATGCCGAGTTAACTTTAACTTGCTGAGTGGGTAGCTTAAATCGAAAAGAAGAGGTACTCGTCTCATCACCAAAGGGAAGGAGAATCTCTTCGTTTATCTCGCGTGTCCTGCTCGAACGAGCTTTTCAAACGAATCGTAAAAGATACAGCGTTAGAGATCGCAAAACGTCCACTTAACGAACGATTGTAACGTTAAGTTCCAAACATTTGCGATATTTAAAATTTATCCCAGGCGTATAAGGTCTGTTCCGGATATTCTTAAGGTCTGTTTTAGGAATTTGCGACATATAAAGACTATTCCAGATATTTGCGACATTTAAGGTCTGTTCCAGGTATTTGCTACGTTGAACTCTCAGCGGATTCAATTTCCGGAACCAATAGATTCCGGATTCCGGAATGGATTCCGGAACCAATTGAACTCAAATGTAACTTCCTTCACGTTCCAAAAAAAGATTTATGATTGAATTCTTACATTATCATATCCGTGTTCTTTTAATGATATTAAATATTTAATATTTCTTTTAATAAATTAAAATATAATTGATATAATTGATTTATAAAAAATATAAACTATAAAGATATAAACTAAAAAGTATACACAAACTAATTTGTTGCAAAGAACATGTATCTATTCTTATATTATTCATGTTACATATTCTTATAATTATATTATAATTATATTACGCATAATGGTATCGATGCTTAATATTATTATTCCTCCATTTGATAAATTTTTATTGTTGTATCATTTTTATTTCCATTTTCAAGAAGTTTTTTGGAAAAAAAACAACATTATTTCAATTCACTAATTCCATTGCTCGTTTTGTTTAGACATCTTTTAGTCAAATAACATTTTCTCGATGTTATGCTGAGAACTAATTATTGTACTAAAGGAGAGAGAAGAGAAAAGAAAAATTGGTGACAACCATTTTAAGTAACATAAGGCACGCATAGTCTGAATAGACTCAGCGAGTTTTAAGACCTGTTCCAAACATTTGCGACATTTAATTAAGATCTGTTTCAAGCATATGAAACATTTAAAATCTTCATCCGTATTCTGATATTCCTTGACGTCCATTTAGACATGCGATTGGTTGATTCTACTATGCACGCGTTTACGTGCAAATTTATCCGGATAGGCCTTTAATGTATGTACATACTCAATTGTGGATTTTACCGTGTTTATATCATCGTTCATCGGCTAACGCAAACCGCCATTTAACTGCTCGAATAAATAATCAAGAGCAGCAAAGCTGAAGCATCAAATAGACAAGTTGAGAAAAAAATTCTTTGGTGGTAACAAAGAAGAGAAAGGAGATTAATGCAATATGTATCATGACTTAGAAAGATCTTTTTAAGACACTCAGAATGATTGCTCAGATTCGAGGTTCCACATCTGGAATCTGTTTATTTCTTTAGTTGTATTCCTAGACCCTTCCCCTTCTCTTTAGAAAATGAACACGCTTTTACTCCAAACGCGAAGAGTTTAAAAAGAAAAAAGAAAAATCTATCTCTCACAACAAATTTTTATCAATATCGAATTTATCTACATTAAATTTGTTGAAGTACTGAAAAATTATCAACAGTTGTGTCCGTTAAATTGTGTCTCCGTTATCTCCTTAGGAAAAAAGGAGAGAAATCTCCTTATATTCCACTAATTTTTCGATAATCATAATAATCTCGGCGAGTATCGGTTTTCAATATACAGTATTAGACGATCACTTTGGAACTCTCTGCATGCTTTTATTAGTCGATTAGCTTTTGGAGCAGGTGGTCGTCCTATTTATAACGATCCTAATCGATAATAACAGCACGATAAGTCAACCAAAATTGCCTTGGCTAAGATTGTCATGCTTTTGAAGAATCGGCTTTTGATGCTATGAAGAAACATCGTTGCGACTACCCCTTAAAGCTCGACATTTCTTGCCAATTCGGCGATCGAGTTTTCAATGTAGTTTCATTCCTATATAGCGACCTTAATCTGTTATAATATTGATCGTCTACGCCATTTGTTTTCTTTTTTACTGCTAGTTTTTTCTTATTCCGAGGAAAGAACATAAAAACCTGATATGGCATGTAACAAATGTATATAATACATTCGATTAATATGTATCGCAGAATCGTTTCTTCCATGCCGCGAGATATTCGAGAAGACTAAGCACATGATTTAAAGCGACGCGGTAAAATTGTAATACAAAACATCAGAGTTTTATGCGTGCAGTTGTATATACGATATTGTTGTGTACACGATATTTCTAACGAACGATCCTTTTATTAATAGCACTTTCATCATACTTTGACAATCAATTCTCGTTGTTTTAAAATCTTTTAGAAGTTAGCCCCTCATTTTTAGACTTAACTTATTTTGAGAGCTGTATTAAATTGTACTAGGTTTGTGTTACATTGTGCTCGAATATTAAAACCATTAATGTAAAAAACATGATTAAAAAAACAATATTTTAGATCAACCTATTTTGTGATTATTTAAATTTTCTCGATTGTGCTAATATTGTACTAAATTATTACCAAAAAAACAATAACAAGTTATGATAAAAAATAGATTTAGAAAATATAGTACAAGTAACATTTTATTCTTATATCAGTTATAGCCATATGGGATATAAATACATACAATAATACCTAACATATATTAGCTCAACACAAATCAGTATCACTTTTTCAAGCAATACAAGATATTAAGGGTACTTTATGCTTGAGCGCGACTCATACCGTTCGGATTCTATGTCCATCATTACATTTATAACAATTCGATGAATAATGTTTGAGTTATGCTAACTTAGGTATAACCTCTGATTTCATTAGCACAACATTATTAAGGACACTTAGGCTCTGTGCACAATGAAAAAAATATTAGAAATAGAAATAAATTTTAGAAATAAAAACTCAGAATAAAAATTAAACGTAACGCACATTTAATACAAATAAGATATGACTATATTTCATACTTATTTATATTCATTGCGCATTATATTTAATTTTTATTTCAAATTTTTGATTTCCAAAATTTAATATTTCCTGTTTCTAATATTTGCTCCATTGTGTGCAGGCCCTTACTCTTAACGCAACTCTTAACACTCAGATTTCATATCCAGTAGCTGCTCAAAAGTATAAAATGCTCTAACATTATGTTAAAGTGTTACTTTCAGAAAACGATAGAATAACAAATAATAATAGAAGTTATACTAAAAGGTAAATTTAGAAAATATAAATAACGTTTATTCTTGTATCATTATCTATGGCATACAAATATACATAATTAACTTAACTTGGGCTTGTTTAGCACAAGTCAGCAGAACCTCCGATTTTGTCAGCACAACCTAATACAACCTAGTATAATCTAGCACTATCGACAAAATTTTAAAGATCGCTGAGAGCGCTAAAGAGGGCTGATCTAAAATATCAATCTTTTTTTCATTTTTTATCATATTTTTCATATTAGAATTTTAATATCTGCACAAACTTAACACAGTTTAATATAACTCTCAAAATAAGTTAATTTTAAAAGACTATTTTTTTAACAGATTATTGTAGAGCAAGATTATCGGAAAAAAAAATAGAATGGAAAGAAATATAATTGTGTTTCTTCGAATAAAAAGAAAGCATATATATATATTGAACAACATACATAAAACAAATATATATATTATTATAAATATTATCTGATAATCCATCTAGTAAACACAAATTTATCTATATTATCAATAAAGAATACAGTTAAATTATTGAAGAATAAGCTATCGCGAGAATATCCAAATAATGACAATATAATTAATATTAATTACAATTATTTGTTTAATCTTTCGATAAATTAAGTTTTTAAAGATATATTTAATTCTTTGATTGCAAATTTTAGAATAATTGTAATAAATAGTGGAATTCGGTATCTCATATAAAAAAGCTTCTAAAACGATAAAAACTTGTTATTAAAGATTTCATAAATATACAAGAATTTTTTCAGATTTGTAGTAAGAAACAGTGCAAAAAACTATAGTGATCCTCAAAGACCTATATTATTGGAAAGTGCTAAATTATGGATTGCCAATCGAGAATTAAGAGTGTGACATCATATTTTACATTAATTGTTATAGTTTTATGATTAACGCGTTCTAAATTTGTTTCATATACATTTAAATTCAATCAGTTTTTTGAATAATTTATTGTCTTTTCTTTCATTTCATGGAATAAACAAAAAATAAAATTGATATCTCTGTTTAATTTTTTATAAGATATTATCTATAACAATTTATGAAAAAATGAAGATTATATTAGAATATATGCATATATAACTTATTTCTAGGTTTAAATTTGTATTAATTATATTTGTATAAATTATATATTACTTTCCTGTTTTAATATAACATTCAGCTTTTAAACTTGATATTATATCATTACAATCGAATTAGTAGTAGCGTCGATAAAATAAATTGATAGATCATTCCAGATTTTATCATATATTGTGATATAATATTACAAATTATGATATAATATTCGGCATAATGAGTAACTAGCAATAATTTTTTGTAATCTATCTACTTTAAGTAATCTATCAATAATTTTATTTATTCTACTATTAATTTTTAGAAGCAATGCATCATCTTATTTTATGTGTGTCTACAAAAGCTTAAATATATAATATTAAAAATCAAGAAAAATTTGTACACAACCACACAACACCAAGTATACACACACACACACACACACACACACACACACACACACACACACACACACACATATATATATATATTATATCTCCCTGATATGTATGTACATCCGTATATCTCTTTAAAATAACATAAATAAAGAAACATAATTAAAGCATCCCAATCTGTTAATACAAAACGCAATAATATTTATTAGTAAATTTCAGAAGCTATTCATTTTTCAAATTTGTATTACTTTATTATCACCACGATAATGTATTTTTTTCATAAAGAGATGATAACACAAACAAAAAATTTCCTCATTTTATACAATTTTTTTAAATTGGTATTAAAAATTATTGTTATGGGCTATTCTCATTTCTATCTATGTTGCATAGATCTTGATATTTACTATCGTTATATTATATTGATTTATTTTGCGAATCTCGAGATGTATCATATATACAACGTATATACAACGTACGCAGTACATACGTGTCAACTGAAGTTTTATCTCTTTCTGCATATAAAGATTAGAAACTTTTTGTATACAATAATTTGTATGACAAAGACATGTGTATTGCAACAATAAACAATTATTAATCTAAATAAATTTTATACATAGAGAATTTTTAGATTATTTAATATCGATACGTTATTACAAAGTCTTTTTACAAAAGCGAAATTTTGAAAAATCAGTCTCTAAAATTAATTAATTCCAATTAGATTATTTTAAGAAAATTGTTAGCATTCCAATTATCGCGATCGTTAATATGTATTCATATCATTATTGATCAATATAAAATTTAATAAATATAGCATCAAAAACATATTTAATATAACATGATAGTTTGATATAAATAAATATTCTGGATAATGCACAGTTAGCATTTCTAAAATAATAAACACAAATAAGAAAATAAGCATAAAAGTTGAAAATTAATTTATAAATTATTAGGATTTTATATCATGGATTGGATTTAAATTGACAATGCTAAGTATAATTTGCAGACATAAAAACAACTTTATTTAAAGCAGCCGACGGTAAAGCGATCAATACATTGTATAGCAAGGTTTAACAATGGCTTTAGAAATATAACGCTTTATCTTCATCTTTTTGTGAAGTTAGCATCTCATTTCTAGAATTTCGATATAATTAATAGAGTTCTGGTTCTCACAAAGCAATTTTGGAGTTCTTGATACGTCTTTAAAAAAAAATTCAAATGATTAAATGCAAAAAATAATAATCTAAAGATATGTTAGTTACACCAATAAATATATAATACGTTATATGAAACGTTTTTCTTTTAATAAATTTGGAAACTTTCTATGTCTTAAAACTTTTTTTGAGATCTGGTGTTTTCTTTGGATTTTACTTAAAATGGAGATTATCATCAATTTTCATATGACAACAGTTGGCATCCTTATTCCTTATATCTTGAACTGTTATTTATAACTGTTATTTTTTAAATAAAAAAGTCATAAAATAATTTATGAAACAAAATTAATTATTAACCTAGAGATTAGTTCGCATAATATAAAAAAAAATGTGTAATTTTATTCGGAAACCAACATATTCTGCTTCCGCAGATTATAATGATCAAATATAACTTTCTGAATAAAACGACAAGTTTAGGAATCTTTTTTTGGGACCGTATCAAGGTTTAAAATTGGCCGTTTTTATAATTGCTCTGTAACTTACATAGAGTATTATGTTTTTAACGATCTGAAATGACCTGAATTGATGATCATATCTCTAATGATCATAGAATTTTATTGCTTACGTTCTTTTTATTAGATAGTAAACATATTTAATGCCAATTCATATATGCCAATCGAGTTTGTTCTCGATGAAAGGTTTAAAAACGATCTATGTGCCAAATGTGGGGCTTATTATATCTAACTCTTTTGATCGAATACTCCAACATATTCGAAAGAATGCGAGAATCTAGAGGCACCGGCACACAGCACGTTCCGCTCGTGTTTCAACGAAGATCCTTTACGTTTCTTTACCTAACAGCGAGCTCTCATGCTTGCTACCTCGAGGCAACCCTCTTTGCCGCCGTCGCCGTTGCTGCCACAACCACCATCACCACCGAGCGCCCGCGCACCCCTTCAACCCCTTCTACTTCGGCAACGTTATCCGTGGTCTTTCAGCCACACTACCCCACCCCTCACGATCAATGCTCGTGAAAAGGTGGGCGCGCGTTCGTGCTCGCGCCCTCTGCGTACGTTTCGCCTCTCTCCCTTCTTCCTCCTCACGTCTCTAACTCTTTCTCACTCCCTCTTTCCCTCCCACTCTTCTTGGTATCTCTTTCCATTCTTTTTCTCGGCGGATCACTCCACTTTTCTCTCTATCTCTCTCATATTTTGCACTGATTCGCGCGGTTGGCGCTAAAATGTCCGAGACTCGACGGAGCACTAAGAACGCGCCACCCTGATCCGATTGAATAACAGATATCACCTCTATTTTTCCGATATCGGCATCGCGATTGCCAGTCGGAATCGCGACCTACACCTCACAGGAGAAAGACTAGGAATAAGTTACCGAGCCGTTATCGAGCACAGTCGACTATCGATTGATTCGCGGTCTTGTCGAGAGCCCGCTTGAAATTTTAAAGACCCTCGCGAGAACCGTCGTTCGTTTACTTTTTTTTCTTCTTATAAATTCTGAGTCATCGGACTGTCCGAACGGACAGTTTGAGAGAATGTGAAGTTTGAATTTGAATTCCATAAAGACGGGGACGGAAAATCAAGTCTCCAGGATTGCGCAAGTATTAATCCGAGCGCGTTCGTACGCTCGCTCCTCGCAAAATTTGTGCGCATCCTCCAGCGTGAACAAGATCGACAGATACCCTCTCCATGGGGATGTAGTTCCAGAAGAGTTACTGTCTTCCTCTTCTTTCTCTTTTTTTATATGTTTTTACGTATGCGAGAATAATACATATATTGTTTTGTAATCGTCGTTATTTTGCAATTGTCCGTGATACTCGGGGAAGCTCACTTCTCCTAGACGAAACATAATACAAGCGCCTCTTTCTTTTTCTCTCTCCCTCCGCTTTCTGTCAGCGCTCCTTCGGCCTGACACGTCGATTGAATTTGATCGTGTCGCGCTCCCTATCGCGAGCTTACCTTCGCAGATGTACCCCTGCTGTATGAGGCCCCAGAGCATGTCCGTGCAGCTATGGCAGTACGTCGGCTTGTGAAACGTTTTCTTACTGAAGCTGTGCCCATGGCTGGCTGGAGTCTCGGCCGAGACCGACGCCATATTCCCCGTTCCACCGCGGAACCGTTCACGCCAGATTTTCACCGTGAAGCTATGCAGGGCGCGCCGCGCGACGATGACAACATAATTACACGCCCGACACTACGTGATCTCGGAACCGTACGCGTACATAACTGCGCTGCTGCGGTGATGGTAGTAATAGTAATAATCGTCGCTGGCCGTACGCTGGCCCACTCGCACCGTCGTACCGTCGTCGTTTCGTACGGCGCCTCGTCGTAACGTCGTCGCGCCTAACACGCATTATTCCACGAGCCGCGCCACGAAATGACCGACGCGCCGGCAGCCACGATCGCACGCGCCAGATGCGTCGTCGTCGTCGTCGTAAATCGCCACCAATCCGCCACCGATCGCCACTCTGATCTCACGGCCGCTGCCGAGCATCACCGTTGTCGTCGCTGCCACTGATGCTGCCCTCGTACCCGTCGTCGCCGGAAATCTCGCTCGCCTCGTTCGCGATACGATGCGTGCGATACCGCGTTCGCGCATCCGACAAGCCTCTGCCACCTCTGCTGCTGTTGTCGCCGCTGTTGCTGCTGCTGCTGCTGCTGCTGCCGCCACCGCCGCCACCACCACCACCGCTGCTGCTGCTGCTGCTGATCCGAGCGTACGCCGCCGAGTGGTCGCACTGACATCAGCCCCTTTTCGTCACCGCCACCGGCCAGTGGCGGATGCGCTGCCCTAGCGGCCGTAAGTGGGGCGTCATGGTGGAGGCCGAGCGAGAGCCAAGAGATGCGAACCGCCCTTCTCCGAGCTCGCGCTTCTCTTCCTCCGCTTTCTTCCTGTATTTATTCTCGGTGAGTCGTTCCCATGCTCGATAATTCCTCCCTTCCGCGAAAGATCCGATGAGTCGCGATCGATGATACCTCCGGCTCCACGTGGAGAACAAGCAGACCCGCTCAAGGGAGCCGGAGCAACGGAGCACAGGTCCAAGATGAAATTCTTCCCACGGGGAGACGAAAGCTTCGTTCCTCAGCACTGTTAACGGCGATGGGAAAACGGAGGGCCGCGTATTTCTCCGTCGCTCCTCGATCCCCCGTAACTTGGCTCGCACGTCCCTTCGCCGCGTATTTCAACGCTTTCAGCCGTCTATTTCCAATCGGTCTCTCTCTTCCTTTCTCTCGCTCGATACTCGTATCTCGATAATCTCATCTTGAGTCGAAAACCACGAATATTCGCGATGTTCTTGGAACGATGGTGACTAGGAGCACGAGCTCATTGATGTGAATCCAAGACACCTTCGATCCTCTTACCATCAATTCTCATTTCAGTCGCGCGATTCAATCGAGAACTCAACGATTAATCTTCGCAGTATATATATCTCTCCCTCCCTCTTTTCCCTCTAGAGGAACCGTCACCAATGCGGACCGCGGTGCAACGACGGGCGTCTCTTGTCGTTCAAGCGTGTTTGAATCGGAGCAACCGGACGTCAATAACGCGTGCTGATCGCGACGCGCGGAACCGCGGACACGCTGCACACGCTGTATATCAGTGATCTCGCGCGATCAGGGATGATGCCCGACATCGACGACAGTACAACGACGGCGATGGCGTCGACGTCAGTGACGGGGGCCGACGCGTGACGGTACGACGTCAACGTCGTTTTCCTCGACGCGCCGACGCGACTCCCGCCGGACTTCTCTTCCACGCGCGGTACGCCTCGTGTCACGTATCCGTCGCGCCTCCGTGTGCCATTGTGGACTCCATCGCGTAGCGAGGCCTCCTCCCTCTTCCTTCCCCTCCCCGCGCCAACCCCTCCTCGCAAAATCCACCTCGTTACCGATTTGCGCGGCTACCGTTCGTTATTTCCGAACGAGCCGTGCGCCGAACCGGATGCTCTCCGAGCGCGATCCGATCTTCTTTCAGTGCGCGTGCGCGCGTACACTCGTCTAACAGTGAATAAGGAACGGCTAGAAGGCGACAAAAACAGAAAGTAGCGGCGCGTTCCATTTAATCGTCGCCTCTTGATAATGAATCCTGCCTATTATCATCGCGACGCCCGTCGTCGTCGCATTGTACATCGCTCGCTCGCTCGCACGCGCGCGCGCCCGCCCACCACACACACACACCACACACACACACACACACACACACACACACACACACACACACACACACACACACACACACACACACACACACACACGCGCGCC